ACCTGAGTCTGACATATAGAAAGAAGGGGACTTTGACAGACACTTACAGGGCTGGAAGTGGGATGGAGACTGGAAGGAAGGAAGTGGAGATGCCAAGGGAACAGGTCCTCTTACTGCAGAGGAGAAGACTGCCTCATTGCTCTTGAGTGTGGCAGACACAGTTGAGAGAGGCTCCACATCTCGAGTCACAGGGCCAGAGAGGACCTTGTACTTGTGCCTACCCTAAAGAGGTATTGTATCACCAAAGGACTTCTTTTGTAATTTGTAAGTCACACACTTGGCTTTCTTTTTATCCTTCTGAGGTCCTAAAGGGAATTCCCAGGCTCTCCTTAAGGTCAAGTGTGTTAGTGCCAAGACACCCACTTGACCTTCTGTATTGAAGGTTCTGCAGAACCTACTCCAAGTGCTTGGGTCTGACTCAGTCATGTTCAAGTGCAGTTGTTTCTAGCCCACAGATGCAGTACATCATCTTTGAGGTTATTATTGCATGGTCTACCCAGGACTGGCAAGTGGTTTTCTACAGGTAGAAAGAGACAAAGACAATGAGAAAGTGCAATTTCTTTTTCTGGCTCTTTGGTGTGAAGGTAACAATTACACAATGATGACTTGGGCAATTCCAGCCTGTTTTTTTCCCAGAGGGAATCAGAGCATTTAACTAGATTGGCTTCTATGCTGACTTTGTAAAACAACTTCTTGTTATCCAGCCTCCATTTTTTGTCTTGTTTTGGGACCTACATGTGTTTTGCAACCTCCTTAAAAGAAATGTCCTGGACCTTTCACTGCATAATCATACAGCAAAATAATATTCAGTTATCCCCAGCAGGGCATAGTAGTGCACACCTTTAACCAGCACTTGGCAGGCAAAGGCAGGAACATCTCCATGAGTTCAAAGCCAGTTTGATTTACATGGTGAGTTCAGGGACTATATGGTGAAAATTTCTCTTAAAAAACCCTTATCTTTCTACCAGGGAGAAGGTTAAACACAACGATTATCTTCCTATCTGTGTACAAAGCAATGCATGTATGTTCTGGCTACACATATGTTCACTTGGGATCTGCACGATCTAATCTGTATTGAATCATACCTTCATAGGTATGTACTCTTATTAACTTAGTGTTCCTTAAATATGGAAAGTTTAAATTTAAATCAAGTATCCGAATATTTGTATGCCTTTCCTTCTGTGAACATAAAACTAATATCACTTATAAGATTTAGAGGGTTACTATCACACAACACAATAGAAACTTGGTTTTTTCAACTTAGAAGTGAGGCAGTAGTTTCCTACAGGATCTGAGGTTGTCCTCTCTTTTCCTTATTTGAGGAGAGTAACTAATAATGCTCAAGAGGTGTTACAGATAGACTGGAACAGAGCTGAGACCTTGTTATCCTAAAAAACACCCATGGAACACCATATGGAACACTGTATAGAACAATTCATGGAGTACCCTATGGAACACTGGGATTTTTTTTTTTTTTTTGGTTTTTCGAGACAGGGTTTCTCTGTATAGCCCTGGCAGTCCTGGAACTCACTCTGTAGACCAGGCTGGCCTCGAACTCAGAAATCTGCCTGCCTCTGCCTCCCAAGTGCTGGGATTAAAGGTGTGTGCCACCACTGCCCGGCTGGGATGGGTTTTTTAGCCTGTTCTTTTGTATTCATAATCTCTGGTTCCTTATATCACCCAGGGTGGAGGTGAGCAGGGAACCAGTCTCACTTTAGGGAGCCCAGTCTCCATTGCTATTAGCCAGTGAATTTTGAATCTCTGCTGGATTGTGGATTGTTTGATAACAACTTATTCTTGATGACCTTAGCAATAACATACACCATGAATGCTTGGACATCACTGGTAGCTTGTAAGGAACAAAATGGCGGTAAATGAAAGCCTTTAGGTGAAGAAGACACAGGATGTTTGTTTTTGTTTCTGTTTTCCCACTGAAAGGAAAGAGTGATGGAAAGCCTTGTAGTCAAAAAGACCAATGAAGACAACTGAGAAGATAAGATGTGAACTTAAGGCAAACTACACTGGCTTAAGGGTGATGCTTAGGTGGTCTTTGCTGATGGCACAGTGAAATGCCAATCTTATGCTTTAGCACTAGAAAGCACCAAGATCAAGGTAGACTCTACTAAGTATGTGAACTTGGCCAAACCATCTTTCTTCTGGGACCTTAATTACCTTAATGTAAGGAAGTTTATAACTCTCCCACAAAGGATCTACCATATTTGTAGGATGGAGAGGCAGGGCTTTGGAGACTGGACCTGTCCTATCTATCACGTATCTGTCAGTCTATATCTATCACTGTCTGTTTGTCCATCTGTCTATGTGTCTATTTATCTAATATGACTGTCTATCATCTATCACTATCTATCTATCTCTCTATCTCTATCTATCTATCTATCTATCTATCTATCTATCTATCTATCTATCTATCTATCTATCTCTATTACCTATATTCTACCTACATCCATCAATCATCTATCTGTCTGTCTGTCCATCCGTTCATCCATCAATGCCTCTGTCATTTATCATTCATATTGGTTTCAAAATATTTTAGATTATTACTGCCTTGTTTTTGGAGCAGGACTTCACTCAGTATGGCTACTAGTACACAGTACGTACTCTGGATAGTTGTTAGTTGAGTTATAGTAATCTGTGAGGCCTACAAGAGTCTAGTTCTCCCCTTCAGGTTTCTCTATGTGTTACCCCCTGCCCAGATACTTTAAGTAAAAAAAAATTATTATCTGATTTGATTGTTTTGAACACCTACTTCGGTATAAGCGTTGTGTGAGACTCTTAAAGATGTTAGAGGAAAAGGAAGCAAGAGAGAGAGAGAGAGAGAGAGAGAGAGAGAGAGAGAGAGAGAGAGA